TTCAACACACGTACTACTTCATTTGGAAGTTAGACGTCTACCCTCCGAAACAATTTCGTAATAAAGGGTTGCCAGTTGTTACTTTATTCTGACGTTGTATAATAAGTCCCAAGATTCATTACAAATGTACAAACTTCTAATTTCAGTAGTTTTATGATGAAGACACTCGTATGAGTCCTGTCTATATACAAAACACGGCACAGATATTTAAGACATCGGAGATTTAGAAAACGTAAAAAATCAGAAATTATTTCACAAAGAGTTGCATAGATTGTTTTACACCTGAGCATGCTTCAGTTTCAGTCATCTTGCAGCTCAATAGCATAACAGTCGAAAAAAAAATGAACACAGTGGACGAAAACAATGTAGGAAAAAGCTATAACTTATAAAACATGTCAAGACACCACTGCGTCCGAGGAAGTTAAGATTTCCCTTCCTTAGCTTAATTCACCTCTAACTAACTTTTACTGGCTACCGAACTGTGCTAGAAAGTACGACGATGGAACCGAACGGTACTATAAAACTCGATTATGAAGTACGGCGGTGTTAACTCTTTGAAGCAATGAGCGAAAGAATGTGGGATCATATAATCTGCTTTACCCAGACTTCCCTTACAACTAATTGGGATACATCTTTATTGTGACTTACAAAAAAAAAAGCAGTGCTGTCTGGGTTTTTAATCTACACAAATAGTAATTCCATTGATCAGGTATAAGATGAAGCATTACTTTTACGTAGGAGTTTCTCGTGCAATTTTTGTTTTTTTTGTTTTTGGGTGGAGTTACGGACGAGTCGCTCGATTTTGGCGTACTGAAAAATGATTTTTCAATAAAAATTCAGCTTTTACACAATAAAAAACCTGGGTAAAAACATTTCATCTTCAATGAACACATGAAATGATACTGTGACGATCACAAACAACTTAATCAGGAACAAAATTAAATGGGGTAGCTTCACGGTTGACATCAGAAACTTCCTCCAGGCGTCTAGCATACGATTTCACTGGCATTAAAAGCATCGCTGTGTGTTTCAGGAGATGACCGGATATCCCAATGATTATATGAACGATTAAATCACGTAGAGTTTTTCAGTGAATTAAAAGCACACCTTTCAACTTCAATAGGCGTTCGTGGTATTGTCGTGGTCGGTGATCTTGGATCCATTTCAACACGCCGGATAATCTTCTTTGGTCTAGTTGGAGTACTAAATACGTCGTCTTGGAGAAATTCCTTTTTATCTTCATTTATTTTCCCGAAAAACTGGCCCATCACTGGCCGTTGGGAGTTAGTTGCTGGAACACATATAAAAGAGCATATTACTGCATTGAAATTAAAGTCCACTGATCATTTCTGACAAGCTTCTTTCATCTGAAGATGAAGTGTATTTTGAGTGGGAGGAAAAGCGGTTTAAGAGTGATATATGATGCGATTAATGAACAAACAAAACAATTAATGGACAAACAAAATAAACTATTTAGTAATTAGGGAATAATTCGAAATTCCCAAAATTTCTTTTCAAATTCCAAGAGGCAGCATCAGCAATCGATCTCAGATTCCACTCAGTAAGGTTTAACAAGGAAGATGGAGTAATTGAATTAGTAAAAGTGGACAAGATACTCCCTTTTATTCCAATCCATGCATAAGAAAGAAACTTGGAATTGAAAGACTGCTCGCCGAATTCCTGCGAAACATTCTTGGAATGATAACGATGAGAGAAAAAAATGGCTATATTAAAGCAAAATGACCGATATGGTATTCGCTTCCACAACCTGCAGCTCGGTTCGAGTCGGAAATGGATGCAGGACGGGGGATGTTATTCTAGTAGTGAAAAAAAAAAGAAAAAATATGACGAGCGAACAGTCATAACGTCAATTATGAAACAGTTTATTAACACATTCTTGGGTGTTATGAAGAAATTACAATGATTAATAAGGCATATTTGATCCTTAGTATGATGTACCTAATAGGCCGAAAGCAATAAGAGAGATAATCATAGTGATTCTAAACAACATTATTGCGCTTAAGATTTCAAACGAAAGAGGTTACTGAAATTATTGAAGAATTTGGTTTTTTTATTCAGGTTGATAGTATCAATAAAATTTATAGCGTGGTATTGTTCTATTTAATAGACACCAAGAATTTGAGATGTATCAGCGAAGGGCTTCAGGGTAGCGAGAACTTAAATCACGGTCTTCAATTCTCAATTAGCTGACGTAAGCAGGTAAAATATCGATATGAATTAGAGCAAGAAAACTTAGAGAGGACTTTTTATCTTTCCTATCAAATCTACCGGAAAAAAAGAAGACAGTGAGTACGTTAAAGACTAATAAGCCAGGACGGTGTATCAAAAGCAAATAATTAGATATAATAACAAAAAATAAAACATCAAAGTATAATTACTTATGAAGAATTCCTTACTACTTTGTAATATTGAATTAAATATCTGGAAATCGATATTTCCTTGAATTATGTTAGCCTTAGTTAAAAAATCGGCAATAAATTATGTCAAAGGAGGCAGGAATTATGTTGGCCTGATTTTAATGAACATCAACCAAGCCTTATTGCAGTAAAATCGAGCCAATTGACAGTTAAACTTATAAGAAGGTCCTTAAAAATCTGAAAAAATGTTGAAAAATTTCAAATTCTCGCGCTTCTGTAAATGTCGAAACAACAACTCTAAAGTTAATCGTGCTAGGACCTGGAGGAGACGGAGCTATTGGCAGATGGTACGGGTAAAGCTTGTTGTTGTTAGAAACAGGATCCACTGGTGCCTTCATAGACCTAAAGTATTTGGCTGGCTTATGGGCTTTCGTCCCATCTTGCTGAATTGAGAATGTACGGGGTAATGAGCAACTAATCATCCACCAGTGATATACTGGCAAAGATCATGATCCTAAGCCAACTAGAGTCTTTGACTTGATGACTGTGCCGGTTCCATTCGTATTAACCGAGGTATTAAATTAACTGAGAGCCAACATCTTTTGTGTGTAATGTTAAGACAGATTGTGGAACCAAATGGTGCACAATTTGAGTTAAATTTTTTGCAGAAGCAAGCCTATAAGAAGAGTAGCTGTGAGAAATTGGAAATATCTGGGAAAGACGGATCGAGAAGACAAGGGGAACAATAACGAGAGAAAAGGATACGATGGACAGACGTGGTAGTGGTCAACCCTCTGTTGGAGCAGCTTCTCCACGGAAACACCAGTCCTTCCCTGCTTGCGTCACAGATATCTTGGAACAGGTGCCCCTCCCACCTTTACTAAACTGATATGCTTAAGATGCTAATACCTCACATTTCAGTAAGCTGGCAATGTTTTCTATGTATCCATGAAGTTTGATACCTTAGTAGAAGTGTTGCCATTAAAAAGTGTAATTTAAGATGACCAAATAGATAATCTTAGCTTAGTGACTGATCATTCCGGTGGATTGGAATATTTTTGCAAATTTTGACCCTGGACTTTATCATTCTACTGGTTTTAATCTTCATCTTTTAGCCTGGTACACTATGTGAACAATTTTTATGCATTGAATATTTCGGTTATGAAATCTCTATGAAGTGATATTGAGCAGTGCTTGAGGTAACTAAAATTTGCGGTCAGCAAGGACAGAAATGGCGTGGTCCTGCAGCACTTCGAAACAATGAATTACAGTATCAACTCGATAATGATTTGTTTTGCATTTCTCCAGATCGGCGAGTATCTCGGTTGAATCAAATACAACAGTTACGTCTCATGCAGATTCTTTGCGATTATTTCAAAGTGAGACCTTTTTTACTTTAATTCCACTGTGTGATACACATTTTTTTTCTGGACCATTTTATAAAATATTAGTTTTACGTAAATTTAGTGGGAATATCAAATTCCCACTGAATTCCATAACATTTTTCACGTAAATGATTACAAGGATGTTTTCGTCAGATAATAGAAAAGCATACTGAATATATCCTGAAAGAGTTAGAATCGAACGAAGGAAATAATATATCTCTGTTATGGCTTGCAAAACATTTGGTTAAATCTGTTATAGTTCACCATTCCAGAAAACATGCACTGAGTATTGGATGGTCGTACTTACGCCTTTATTTTTAAATGTTTAAAGTTCCTCGTAAAATTTCGTTGTGATTTCGAAGATATGGACATTGCAAACTGCTTTCCTACACAGTATCTTTTCAGGAAAGAGAATCTGAGCCACGTGGCCATCAGTATTCTTATTTTGAAGCGGTATTTTGCGGCCGTGAGGGCGAACCACTTTTACACGAAACACGTATTTCATTGCTGATCAGTTTATGTTCACTGGCCGTGCAGTATCCATGTTATTCAGTACTGAACCATATTTCACAGTGGTTACATAAGGTTATGCTTTTAAATTTGTGTTTAATCTTCTATGCAGGAATTTCAATGTATCGTCTGTGTATGATTGTAAAGAAGTTTGTTTTTTTGTAGATTGGGAGCGGGAAGTCATATGCGCAGCAGTTTGTTTCCCAACTTGTCGACCACTACATTTTCATTCCAGATGATTCGAATTTGGTTAGGCATAGTTTAAATGTTTTTTCTAGTCGGACATTCCCTTTTTAACATGGGTTTTTTTTTTTCAAGGATCTGTGGCAGGTAGGCTTTTTTAGTAAAACCTTTTCCGATAGTCCAGCATATCTGTAGCAGTCAAAATATCAAGTAAGAGAAGGTAGTGATTAGCAAAAGCAATAAAGGATTGTGATAGAGATTCAGTGCTGAATCATATTTCACAGTGTTTACATAAGGTTGAGCTTTTAAATATACGTGTATTGTAGTCTTCTGCACAGGAGTAAAGAGAAATTTAGATAATTGAAAATATATGAATTTTTTTACAAGTTTAACAAATCACTGTACTTTGATCGGCTCCCTTTTGATATAACTGATTTTTTCCTAGGTTCCAGCACAAATATCTGTTACCTTTGGCTGATGAAGTTCCCGAATTTGTTTCGTATTTTGTTACTTATTCGGTCACCAAAGATTCACTACGACAATCACTGTTTTTGGTTCTGAATCACTGGTTAACTGGTCGGCGTAGTGACCTCATTATGGCATTTATCAAAGAAACTCCTGTTGTTACAAAGCATTTCGTTTCTGTGGTATGTATTATTCATTTACACTTATGAACTAAATGAAGATATGATTTTTTCCTCACTGAATTCATATATAAACTTTCCAGACGTTTCCATTTATGGTTGTTTATGATTGCTCTACTGGTGGTGTTCATAAAAATCCATTACATGGTTTTACTACAATGCTTTACTCCGACTGGAACATTTCTCCCTCATTAGAATTGAGACCGGCTCTCAAGGTATGCCTTCTTTCCTTCTTTTCAGATTAATTTTGTGCGCGCTAACTATTCAAGTAATTTTGCTGTCAGAATGAGACCTTTCTTGTGGTGTTGGTGCTAATTTGATGTGGCATTTCTGCACTTCATGGAGTACTTGAATTTTTGCCGTACAATTTGAAAACCCCCTACAGCCGTCCTTTTTTATATTTTAAAAAGTAAGTCAATGATGCATTTCTAAAAGATTACCTATGAAAGTTCCACGAGTTCTTCAGATTCTATCAAAAGCTGCTGATTATTCAGTTTTTGACAAAAATATCCTATGCTATCATGTTCATCTTGCAAAGCTGTCTCATATTCTCACACAAGAAGATCTGTTGGACGTTCTGGAAAATCCGAAGTCGAGCGCATTCTTCAAATCGCTGAAATATGAGCTTCTAGAAGTTTAGCTTCAGTTATTTCCAACTAATTAATTGCAAATCTTGCTTCCTACTTTATTACAACTTATTATTTTATGAAATAAAGTCAATTTGGTAGGAGGCATAATGGTATACTGGCAGATAATATTGATGATTACTTGAGGCATAATGGTATACTGGCAGATAATATTGATGATTACTTG